GTAGCTTAGGCTTCTGGAAAATGGGCTCATAGTTATTACGTGGGTATCTATCTAATCTAAGCTCCTCAAGAAGTGCTTACCTTTGCCTCTGGTCCATTTTTATTTTGCTGCACTCACTGATGCCAAACTACACCACAGCATATCTAAAAATGGCTTAAATTAGTTTTTAGTAAAGGTTAACAGTTCATCCTTATAGCAAATGCTTTGCTTTTGTTTTATTATGTTATCATTTACAGGGTTCCCGCAGATCCTTAAAAAGTCTTAAATTTAACTTTCCTTATGCTGTAGTAACTGTTTTAAAGCTTTGTGTGATTAGACCTGTTTATTTGAATGATTTTTTAAGAAGCGAGACATTGTTTTAGTTGGTGTTACAAACGCTACGAATGGATGTCTTCCTAGCGTGAATGTATTTAGCTGAAGGGTTAATATCAATGCTTTTATTTTTGTCCTACAGAAAAGCCATCTCAGAACTCAGAAAATGAGCAACATTCTGTGTCTCTAGAGGTGCTACTTGTCAAAGTCTGCCATAAAAAACGAAAGGTACAGTGTACTGCCTCGTTACTGAAGCTGCTTATTCCGCTATGTTGTCCTTGCTGATGGTTTTCATGGTTCTCTGCTCATTCAGGATGTCAGCTGCCCTATAAAACAAGTGCCTACCGGTAAAAAGCAGGTGCCTTTGAATCCTGACTCTAAGCAGACCAAGCTGGGCTCCTGCCCCTCTTTACTGGTCCCCAGCAATGAGTTTGAGCCCAGCAACAGTCACATGGTGAAGTCCTACTCGCTCCTCTTCAGGGTGTCACGCACTGGGAGAAGCGGCCTGGTCAACGGGGAGGTCAATGAGAACATAGGTGTGTCAATTTTTGATGCATAAAATTTGATGTATTATATTTTTTATTCACACAATTTTAATCCCCCCTTAAACCCACCCCAGATGTAACAGAAACTCATAGTAGAAAAAAAAGAAGTTCAGCCCACAGAGAGGAGGCAGGGACCACAGAGACCTACATCGCACAGATGACAGTTTTTGATAAAAATCGGTAAGTAGTTTTGGCCCAATTTCTCCTGTTTGTTCCCCTTTGGGTGCATGTTTAAATTCTCAGAAAGAGTTGTGGTTCTGCTACAGGAGGCTGCAGCTGCTGGATGGCGAGTACGAAGTGTCAATGCAAGGGTTGGATGAAAGTCCTGTGAGCAAAAAACGAGCCACATGGGAAACAATCCTTGATGGCAAGGTAGGTGACCCGAGTGGGTCTTCATTTCTTCTTGCCTCCTAGCTTATGACCTCTTACACCTTTTAGCATTTTCCAGTTGCTTTGTCATCAGCTGTAGGTGCATAGTACTGGTTTAGACATATGTACCCAGAATATGAAGTTGGCTCTGTTTGTTTTTGGTTCAGATATTTGCTTCACTGTAATAACATCAATATATATCAAATGTTTTTAAGCATCTTTACTCACAAACCTGGCATAAGCCAGGGTTCAATTCTATTCAGTTCAGTTTATTTCTATAGCGCCAGTTCACAACACCTGTCA